TATTATTATTATTATTATTATTATTATTATTATTATTATTATTATTATTATTATTATTATTATTATTATTATTTATTTATTTATTTATTCAATTATTTATTTAAAGTAATAAAAAAAAAATTAAATTGATAAAAATTAAAGTAATTAAAAGTAATTAAAAAAAGAAATAAAAAGGAATAGAATGTTTTTCTCACCAATTTAATTGGACGGTTGGACACGATTTGACGTCGCCATGTAAATTATTGTCATTAAAAGGCATCAAAAATAAGAGATATTTTGGATCATCTTCAAGAAAATCTAGGAATCTCAAGTTATGCAATGAAGGTTGACCGTTTCTACGTAGGTTTGTCATTTGAACAAAAACTAAAAATAAATTAAATAAATTCCAAACCATCAATTATCCTTTTCTAATTATATATTTACACATTGAAGATAATTTGCATTATAATTATAATTATATTACGCATTGGTGGTAATTTTTGCTTACCAACATTTTTATAATTCTTTTTATGACTCTGTTGTAATAATTGTGACCATTTTGGACATTTTGGAGTAGAATTAATTGACATTTCAGATTAACTTTAATTTTAATTTATTTTAATTTAATTTTAATTTAATTCGTTAGAAGAATGTATTTTTTTTTTTTAAAAAAAAAAAAAAAAAAAGAGAAAAACAACGACAATTTTTACGATTACCCTTAATTAGAAATTAGATTGTAATGATTACACAAATGCACGCTACACGAGTTAGTTACATGATTGTTGTACTAGGTGCAACAAGATTTTTAATTTTTTTTCTTTCTTGATGTCAGATACTTCAGATACTTCACCAAACTCAAATAATGTTTGTCCCGTAAAAAATCATTCATCATCGCCTTTCTTAAAAATTACAGAAGGAAGAAATGAAAATTCCGATGCAATTCAATGTCCTCATCCTCACCAAAATAATAATTTCTCTAATGAGCAAAAAAATTTATCTAAAAAGGATGGATGTTCGAGTGATGCCATGATTAATAATGAATCAAATAATATGCCATTTATTTCAAATCAACCATTACCGAATATTAATCAACGTATTCCACTTGAAACAAAACGTCAGTTATCAAGTATTCCTCGAGCATTTCCCGAAAAAATAGATGATGATAATAATAATAATAATAATAATAATACAGATGAGAATGAAATAGAAAAGAAAGTTTGGATATATCCTTCAGAACAGATGTTTTTTAATGCAATGAAACGTAAAAATTGGAATCCTCGTGAAGAGGATATGAGCGTAATTATACCAATGCATAATGCTGTCAATGAAAAAGCTTGGAAGGAAATATTGAAATGGGAGAAATTACATAAAAAGTAAGTTAATTTTATATTTTGATTTCTATTTTAATAGATAAAAAAAAATAATAATAAAATAAAATTAATAAATAAATAATCAAATGAGCCAATTTATTAAATATAAATTAAAAGCAATTGTGGTGGACCAAAATTAGTGAAATTTCAAGGCAATGCAAAAAATATTACTCCTAAAGCAAGATTATTAAATTTATTAGGGTAAGTTCATATTTTTTTTTATCATTATTTTATTATCATTACATAAATTCTTATTTTGTTCTTTTTTTTTTTATTTTGAAATAAATCAATTAATAAACAAATAAATGTTAGATATAAATTACCATTTGATAGACATGACTGGGAAATAGATAGATGTGGTAAAAAAGTTACATATGTTATTGATTTTTATTCTGGACAACCTGATCCAAAATTCCCTCAAAACGTAAGTTTCTATTTGGATGTTCGTCCTGCTATATCATTTGAAGGTATCTTGGATAGATTTCGTAGATTATTATATTCGGTAATTAATTGAAAAACATTGGAAATTCGTTAAAGATTAGACTCAAAAAAATTTTGTATAAATTTAAAAAAAAATAGGAAATATCTCAAAGGAATTGTTTTTTTTTTCTCCAATGAAGCCTTGCTCTTTTAATAATTTATTAAATATAAAGAATAAAATTACATTTCACCTAATTAAATTATTTATTACAAATGTATTATTTTTAATGACGCAGTATATGTGGTAATAGTACAGTTTCTTCAAAGCTCAATTGTTACCAATACCGATATCACTGGGTGGTTAAAAATCCATCCATTGGATATTTATTAGCCACTAAAATTATGCGAAATCCGGATATCACGTGACCATTCTTAACGATTGATAATTTTCTTTAAACAGTAAATGATCAACAATAATTTCGATCGTTTTTTAGTCGTGTCTAAGTAAAGTTCTGATTTCAATGAAATATGGTGCTAATTAAAGTCGTAGATTTAGTATAGAGCTACAACTTCTTATAAGATAATAAACACTTCCAGTAGATAATTACTGAAATCGAAAGAGGTTACAATTAATAATTTAATTTAATATTTTTGATTAATTTTATTATTTAAAAGTCTAGATTTTGATCAACGTGTTACACAAGTATTTATACTTATTTTACAATAAGGTTCAATTAAATTTTGGTCACTCATATAACAAGTCACCAGAACGACTACTTAATAGATGACAAAACTTTATTATTGTATTCTTTGAAACTATTTCTTCGTTTCTTCTATTTAGATCCAATAAGATCCAATTTTTGGGAAAGTTTATATAGAAGACATTTTTTATAGTAATAGACTATATAGATGAGTAATATAAATAATATTTAATTATTTTTAAATTTTTTTTATTAAAACTATTGTTTTAATATAAACTTTTATTAAATTTTATAACTATTTTTAAACTATTTTATTAAATTTCAAATAATAATTATAAGTATTTAAGTATTTAATTATTTCGAGTATTTGAATATTTGAGATCTCAAAATCTCATATTTTAGAGTTTATATAAAAAAATATAAAAAATATTCATTTTAATAATGTTATATACCTTTATTAAATTTATAGAATCTGTAATAACACATATATACATATTTAAATTCTATGTAATATCTTAAATATCATTTATAAAAACTCAGATATTTTTGATATTTTTATTACCAATATAAAAAAAAATTTAAATAATTTAAAGTTCGACTAAAGATAATTTTCTTTAATCACCTGATCTAAATCTAAGATTTCTATTCGTTTAAATATTATTTGACCAGTTATGTTACTATTGATTATCATTTAATAAAAACAAACTAGCCCTATGCTTATTTAAGACAATATTTTAAAATGAGCAGATATCCAATTTGAATAAATAAGATATTATACGATAGCCCTTGAACTGGGGATTCTTTTAAAAAAAAGTTTATACAATTTAAATTATTCATTGTACCAGAATTTACCCTTGAAATTTTTTAAAAAATTTAAAAAAAAAACAAGTTGATGTATTTTGTATAACAATATAAATGAATTTTAACTATACTGTATGTTCGCACCTGGATTTAAATTGAATTAATGTTAGTTACATGAATCGTGTTCACATTAAAAATAGATTCCAATATTAGTACTATAATAAAATGGCTTCAAATTTGTACAATGAAAATTAGTATTTTAATCATTTTATTATATTTTTTGTTTAAGATTGACATCCATTTTAAACAAAAAAATAGATATAAAAGAAAATGAAAATGTCACAGATTTGAAAGTGTTTTGTATTCTAAATATGCTCTTACTCTTGATCTTGTCCTTGCTGTACTGTGCTGTGCTCTTGATCTTGTCCTTGCTGTGCTATGCTGTGCTTTTGATCTTGATCTACTGCTCCATTCCACTTTACTTTAAACATATATCATATTTATTTAAAAAAAAAACAATTATTTGTAATCTTTTTTTGCATATATATACTTGGAGGTGTTTGCTGGTTCTGATAAAATCGATGATTTCTAATTATAAATTAAGGAGCATGAATAACATACATTACACCAATAATAATTTTAGAAAACATTATCAATATTTACTTAAATAAATATTTGAATTTTAACAATTAACAAAAATAAATATTAAAAAAGTAGTTTTTCCTATCTATGGTAAAATTTAATAAATATTTAACAAACATAAAACATTAAAAAAGTGTCTTTTTCTATCTATAGTAAATTTTAATAAATATTTAACAAATGTAAAACATTAAAAAAAATAATCTTTTCTATCTATAGTAAATTTCAATAAATAATTAACAAATGTAAACATTAAAAAAATATCTATAGAAAATTTTAATAAATGTTTAACATCTTTTCCTATCTATATTAATAAACAATAATAAATGTCATGATAATAGTTTTACATGTACTAATTTTACTTAAAATTATTAAATCATAACTCATTCCATTTTAATCTCTTTCTCTTTTTCTTTTTTTTATTTTAATAAATTAAAAACTCAAAACTATGTCATCTATATTTATATCAATCTGCTTTATTAAAACTATCACAGAAAATGAAAGAATATATCTAGAAGTATCTTGTATCAGATAAAAGACAATGAAGATAACTTTAGAGAAATCATCTATAAAGGTTTTACTAGAATTTTTGAAATATTAATTATGGATTTTGAGAAGGACTCTATTGTGCTTATGATTAAAGATATGTTTATGATGAAAATGTTGAATGTATAATAATTGAATCTTGCTTAATTCAAAAATATAATTATTATAAAAAGTTAAATCTCACATTTTTTAAAATATTTAAGGTGACTCTAATTTAAGCTATACCAATTTCAAACTCTTTGAATGATTTTACAAATATACCAGAAGATCTTCCTTATACTTTTTCCTTATTAATTTATTTAGCTCCTGTTATAATTAATTCTTATAAATCTAATGATGAAGTGGAAAGACACAACTTCATGATGTCCAAGTGACTATATAATGAGATAACCGGTAAAAAAAATATTGAATTCAATATTATTGTATCTTACACAAACTAAAATAGTTGGTATTATACATGTTTTCAAAATTAATTTTGGATTTTTGAGGTATTTCAACTTTTTGAGATTTATGCAAAATCTATTCTATATATGAGGGTTATCTAAAGTAGAGTTTATCATATGATAAATAATCACAAGAAATATCACATATTTATGAAATATTGTGTGCCAATTGGTTTTGTTCACAGTTAACAAACAATAAAATTTGCTCAACTTTATTTAATTTATTTATATAATTTTTAATTTATCTTAATTATTTATTCATCATCATACTTTATTTAATTTATTTATATAATTTTTTTAATTTATTTATGTAATTTTTTAATTTATTTATATAATTTTTAATTTATATTTTATTAATAAAGTTTTCTTTATTTTACTAAAAAAATTTTTTGATTTTTTATAAATCTTATTTCATCTTTACATTATTTAAAATGGGATCTAAATGAGATTTTAATTCTTCAAGAAATGTACCCATTTGTTTATTATCACTCTTCTTTTCTATTTTTCAATATACATTACAAGTTCTTTCCATAAGTTCATTTATAGCCAACCACCAATTTTCTGCTACCTTTTTACTTATAATTTTCTCCAACATATTCACCTCAACTAATTAATGATTAAAATATACTTCAAACCCATTTTCTTCAAATATCTGTTGGAATTTTATTCAGATATTAGCTATAAGTAATTTCATGACACCATACATATGCTCATGAAAAATATGATGACAGGAAAGTAAATATCAGTAATAAAATAAACAATTACAATATACTAATATCAAATTTGGAAAAAATTTTTTTTTTTCAAGATGTTTTTCAATGGTACCATTTTTTCAATAATCATATGTTAAACAAAAAAAGAAAATTTGTATATCTCCTGAAGAATTTTATCATCTACCTCTATAATTGAAATCTTTTTTATGCGGAACTCGAAAAAAATGAAATCTGAATCTGTACACTCTTTCTGATCAAGTATAATGATTTTATGGCAAGCATCTAAGGGAAATAAACAATAGTTACAAAATAAACAAATAAATAAATAAAAATAACAAATGAGAAACAGATGAGATAAACAGAATGGATATTAAACAATGGAATGAATATTAAACAATAGATTGAATAACAAAATAGTGAAACAAGTAGAATGGATGAAAAACAAGAGAATATACAATAGAATGAATGAAATGGAGAGATAAATGACAAATAAGTGAAACAAATGGAATGAACGATGAATGGCAGAGAAAAAAAAAAGAAAGAAAATGGAATGGATGAAAAATAAGAGAACATATAATAGAACGAACGAAATGGAAGGACAAATGATAAATAGGTAAAACAAATGGAATGAATGACAGATGACAAAAAAAAAAAAGAGAAAAATTATAGTAAACAGGTGAAAAAAAAAATTAATTAATAAATCAAAATATATAATAAATATATAATAATAATAATAATAATAAAATCTATATCAATTAAACCATGTCTTGCAGAGGTTGTTCTTTTCAATTTGGAATAAAATAATTCTAATAAATTCATTGATGTCATTTGTATGAGTAAAGGGAAGTGCTGATGTATCCAAAGTACTTACTGTTTATTATTTTTTAAATATTATCATTTTATATATTGTTTATTAGATGGAACTGGACATTAATTAATTACTTCTTGAATAAGAACTTCGCTGCCTATTCAAGTCCACTTGTCCATTGCTTGAATTATTTTTTTTGGGTATTTACATTATATATTTTATTTATTCAAGTCTGTAAAAGATGTACAATACAAAAAATAACTTCACATTCTTGTTCACCATTTTTGAAATTCAGAAAAACCAATTTAATACTATTTTCTTCTATATTACTTTGATTTTGAAGAAAATACCTAAGCTTTTAACAAAGTACAAATTAGTGAACAATTTTTAAAACTTTTAAAATGGTATCTGAATCTTTATTACTTACAAAAAAATAAACACCA